TCATCTACCATTCATATCTAGACAATTTGAGAGTTATAATATTCCAAATGGATGTAGAGAATTTACATGGAAATTAGGCACAAAATACGATAAAATTAAATATTTCGTTGTTGCTTTTCAATGTGCAAGAGATAATAATTATACAAACGCTAGTAGATTTGATAATTGTGGATTAGAAGAAATTTATGTTGAGCTAAACAGTGAACGTTACCCGTATGAATGTTTGAAGTTTGATTTTGATAAATTCAACGCTGTTCAACAATATAATTTTGCGAAAGAGTTTAGAAATAGTTATTATGAAACAAATAAAGATTGCATTTTTATTGAAGAGGATGTATACTATCACTATTATCCATTACTAGTTTTTGATGTATCTAAACAAAATGATAGAATTATACAGTCAAGACCTGATGTTACAATTAAAGCTTTTTTTTCCAAAAATATTGCACAAAGCACACGATGTTATTGTCTTATTATGAGCAACAATATTGTAGAAATAAAAGATAACCGTGTTAAAGTAATTTAACTTTAATTTAAAAATTTTTTCATTTATTTTTTTATAATTAAATCAGAAATAATTTAAAATGATTTTATTCTCTTCAAAATCGCTCACATTTCAACCATTTTTATTCTGCTCATTATTCATTTCTTTTACAAATTCCAATCCAATATTATGCACCGATACTTCACCAGTTCAATATTTTAAGTTTCCCAAATTACCAAAATGTAATTATATTTATAATAATGCAACAGAAATAATAAGATATGAAGTTTTTAAGCCAAATACTATAGAATATGTATCAAATGCTCATTTTTGTAAAAAAATAGTTTCAGAAGTATCATTACATACAGATTTAAGTGGATATGAACATTTGGTAGAAAAAGAGATCAATAATAAAGCGATTACAAAGAACGAATGTGAAGATATGATAAAAAATAAGTATTGTGAATTTGGAAGAATGAAAAAAGGAGACCATTCTTATTTAACAAATAACAAAATTGAAGTTGATTATCCTAATAGATTTACTAGTTTATTCAGATCAAAACGATATTTAAAGGAAAATTGCATATTAATTGAAACAAAAATTTTTTCTCATTATGATCAAAAATATCCTACAAATGTACTTGCTGATATGACAAAATGCAATTATCTATCTGGAAGTTGTCAATTAAAGTCAAATGAAATAATGTTGTGGGATGTGAATAAAGACCAAAATTGTAAATTTATATCAATTGGAAAATTTGATGGATTTTTGAATGACAACCTCTGGATAAATAATGAAAATCAAATTGCTCTAAACTTGCAAAGAAATAAAACAGCTACAGATTGTAATAATCAATTATATTTAAGTTCAGAGGGCTTTGCAGTTAAAAAAATTCTGAATAAAACTCCAAAAAAACTTACTTTTAGACCAAAAAGACAAACTTTTAGAGATTATCAAGAAGCCGGAGAATTTCAATATTTAGAAAACATTTTAGATAATCAATTACGACATACTACAGAAACTTTATGTACAATTTTCAATGATCACAGCGATATTTTAGAAATGTTAATAAAAGAAAACCCAAGAAAATTTATGCAAAAGGCACTTAATTATTCCGCGATAAAAGTAAAATTAATTCCAAATTCTGATGTTCTGCAAGTAAAGTTTTGTAAAGAAATTGATGCAAATATGATAGAATATGTTGATTTGTCTCACTTTGATGGCTACAAGCTAAGCTTGGCGTTAACAAAAGGACAGATTCCTATAAGAATAAAGAAATATAGAGATAAGATTTGGTATTACAAAAATGATATTATTTCAAATAAACTTCAATTAAGCGATCAAAATATTAACCAAATTAAAGAAGATAAAAATGTAACAACACTTAAAAATATTAAACACTATAATTTGAAGTTTTTGAATAAAAAAGTAATTTAAGTAAAAAGTAATTTAAGTAAGTAATTTAAGTAAAAAGTAAAAAGTAAAGAACATATTCTATTAGATACAAAGACAAATATTGAAGAAGAATTAATAAATGAAATGCGTCAAAAAGCAGAAGTTGGATTAGAATAAAAAGAACATGAACAAACTTCAATGATTCCTCATGAATTAATATCAGAAGTTGAGGACTTTTTTGGTGGATATTATATTTACATATGGAGAATTTATGTTTCTATAGGTGTAACTGTTTTTTATGTCTTTATTATACGAACAATTTGGTTAGTACTTTCCCCCAAATTTTTAGTTGGTCAAAATAAAAGTAAGATGAAAAAAGTTTCACTTTCCGATGTAGCAATTGAACTTTTTCCACTTAATCAAAGAAATAATTTAATAGAATCAAGTTCTAAAGGAATTACAACATCCAGACACTCCATTGTAGTAGACTAATTCAGACAAAAATTTTAAAAAATTATGTCAATTAAATAAAAATGAGAATTTTTGATTCAGGAAGCAATTCTAATTATGTAATTATTACTCCAAAACAAAAAGAAAAAGTAGAATTAATTGAAAACAGTGATTACGAAGTGACTATTTCCGAAGTGAATAATAATGAAAATGTGTTACAAAATATGAATAACAGTCATTTCAAACAAAAAAAAGTAAAAAATGTAAAAAAAGAACAAAAAAGTAAAAAAAATTAACCAAGAAAATTCAGATTTTCTCAAAGCCTTAAAAAGTGGTTCTGGTTTTAGAATAATTCCTAAAATTAATTAATTGCCTTAAAATGTAACTCTAAATAAAGATCACAATGATTACAAACAATAAGTTGATTATTCTCGTCAACTAATTTCAATATAATAGTATTTGCTCTATTAATCATTTTGTGGTATAATAAATTATAAGGTTCATATAGAATAGCGGAGCTGGGACTACTATTAGTCTTAGAATTAGAACAATTATTAATTTTACAAATTATATTATTTTGCTTATCATTAATATATGTATCTCCAATAAGATTACATGAAACAAACATTATATTATTTTTATTTTTTTGTTTATTTTTTAGTTCAATTTCACCATCAATTTTTAAAACAGCTATTTCGTATTGTTTATCAATAAAAGAAGAAGGAAAATCGTATTCAAATATAGATTCAGTAGACTTTAAATGGAGATAAAAAGCCGCCATACCCAAATGAATAGCTATAAAGTAGATACTTAAATAATTTTTTTAATTTTGTTATTTAATAACTAATAAATTTAATAATTTAAATAATCTGAACACTCCATAGAGATGGATTTTTTTGATTATTCTATTCAAAATTACTATACAAAGAGAAACAATAATCCATTACTACCAAATTCAATTAGGGCTTGCATAATTGGAAAATCAGGGTGTGGAAAAACAAACCTTTTATTAAACTTGTTATTAAACGATTATCTTGATTATAATAATTTATATATTTTTTCAACAAGTTTATTTCAGCCATCCTATCAAGTGATAGTAAAAGGGTTAAAAAATAACTTAAGTAAGAAAGAAATTAATGAGTGTTTTAGGAAACAAGATTTTACAGTTGACAAGAAAGATTCAGAAAAATCAGAAATAAAAGTTCATTGTTTTGATAATTATGAAGCAGTTCCAGATCCAAGTGAAATAGATCCAAACTTGAAAACTCTTATAATTTTTGATGATATTATGCTAGAAAAGCAAAATAAAATAGAAAATTACTCTACTAGAGGTCGCCATAGTAATATAGATTGTTTTTATATAAGCCAAAATTATATCAAATTACCAAAAAATACAATCAGAGAAAATGCTAGTTTATTTTTAATATTCTCTCAAGATAAACTCAATTTAGATTATATTTATCGTGACCATTGTGGAGAATTAGAAAAAAGTGAATTTTATATTATGTGTAATAAAATATGGGAGAAAAAGTATAATTTTCTTACTATTGATAAAACTAGTGAAAAAAATAAAGGAAAATTTAGAAAACAGTTAAAATACTTTTTTTTTCTTAGAATTAGAGTTCCCCCAAAAGCTTTTATTTACTTTTTGTTTTTTGTATAATTGAATTATTTTCTGATTGTTTAGCATAAATTCTATCTGCTTTATTTCTTAAATTAATTGGAACACTAATTCTTTTATACTTATCCATATCTATATCCTCAATATTAATATCATCTAAAATATCTAAACATTCTTTATTTGTTAATTGTTTATTGTTAGTAGTTGTAATAGATAAACTAATATGAGGTAGTTCTACTTTTTTATTTTTAATTCTTCATCATATTTTTTAGCTAATTTGTTATAATCATCTCTATCTTTTTGGTATTTTTCCATAGAAGTTTCTAGCATTTTTTTATATTTTTTACCTTTTCCTCCTAATTCTTTAATTATTAATGATTTACATTCACTTTCGCACATTTTAGTTATAAGTAAATTGAATGAATATATTATTGATTCTTTCATACTTTCATTAATATTTGTTAGATTATTTATCTGTTTTGTTAATTTTTCTATATCATCTAGATGTCTTATAACAGTTTCTTTCGTCAAATCATTATCTAAATAAGCGTTTAATTCGGCTTTATCGATATTAATATTTAGTTGTTTGAAGAGCTGAATTTCCATTTTGTTAATTTAATAGAATAAATTTTTCTCCTTTAAATTAACAAATAAACTTGACGAGTCTAGTTCTGAAAGAATTATGCTCGATAAGAAAATTATAGCATCATTTTTAAATTATAGCATCATTTTTATTTAGAAGATAACAGAAAATTTCCAATTATGAAATCGAAATGGTGTAAATTACATGATGTATCAGTAAAAACATTAAATAGAGGTTTAATGGAATTAAATATAAAACTAAATGAGACAAGTCCGGACAACAAGGGACAAGAAGCAAAAAATAAAGTTAATGAGTCTAGTTCTGAAAGAAGTATAAAATATTATAAAAATAAAATTTCAATTTTACCTTAAAAATTAAATCATTTCAATATTAGAATAAATATTTTTCAAATCTTTTTTCTTTATTTTTTTCATTTTTACCAATTCATCTAAAATTCTATGTATTTTATTATATTCGTTCTTATTTCCTGCTTTATATGATCCAATTGATAATCTTAGCATATCTATAAGTGAATTCACATTAGACGGTAAAAAATCAACAGAACTTCCTGTTACACTTTTTTCAGACACACTTGAAATAGATTTAATAAAATAATGTTCTCTTATAAATTTCCATTTATCACTCGGATCAGAATTAAATCTTTTGTTTGGAGCGTTTTTATCGAATCCTTGATAACAAGCGTCAGAACACAAGAGTATTTGTTGATATGATTTTTTCTCGTAATCACTTATTAAAACTAAATTTGGTGATTTTTTTGTTAATAATTCCATTAATCCTTCAGTAGCTTCATAATCAACATTATTAATTTTTATATTGTTATTTTCAAATTTTACAACTTTATTTCCGATTGTATATTGATTACTATCTTTGTTGTATCTTAAAGAATAACCAGCGTTACTTTTCTCCTTATCATCTTGTAAATAAGAAGCTATTATCTTGCTTACAGTAATTGCTGCTCTAGGACTTTTAGTTTTTTCTGATTCAAGTTCTAGTTGTTGTGGTGCCTCAATTCCCCTCGGAAATGATTGCCCTTCGCTCATTTTTAAATGTTTGAAATTATTCAATGTTTCAACTATTTTATTTTTTTCATCAATAATTTCTTCTTGTAATTTTTTGTTTGATTCCAAAATTGGTTTAAATATTTCAACTCTATTTTCTTCTAATTTTTCAAGTTCTTCATGTTCTTCTTGATCTTTATTTTTTTGTTTTTTTCTCATTTGTATATGTTGCTCGATTATTTCATTTCTTTTCTTTGGATCATATATTTCTATAAATGATGGCATTTCTTTGGGAAAGCAAACTATTTAAAATATAAAATTTTTAATTGTTTTAAATGGTTACTTCAGAAATTTTACTAGAGGGAATGAAACGAGATGTAATACGACATCAAGTAGTCTTAATTACTAACAAATTAAAATCGCTAATTCTTTCATCTAATGAAATAAAACATATGAGAAAACAAGAAATGATTAGTTATATTCTCAAACATAAAGATTTATTTGATCAAATCAATTATAAAAATATATAATTAAAAATTTTTCTTTTTAAATAAGGCCAAAGATGGACCATCTCCAAAATATGTCACGGGATGAACTTCGAAGTGAAGTAGTGAGCCTTGTTAACAGATTGACACAAACAAGTAAAAAAAATAAATTACTTACATCAACACAAATAAAAAAGATGAAAAAAAATGAGCTGATAGAGTTTATTCAACAACACCAGGTATTAGAGGTACCTCAAGAAGTAAATAACAACAACAATAATAGTAATATCGATCATTTCGAACCTTCTCTTTATCAAATCTTTCCATTTGAAGAAGGAATATTTAGCAATTATAAGGAATTTAAAGGCGTTATTAGAGAAACAAAATATGAAAATCAAAATAATGAAATTAATTTAGAAGAATATCTAGATAAGATGGAAAAAAGAGGGTTTGACTATTATCAAAAAATAATTAAGAAAAAGATAGATGCTTTTCTGAAAAAGAAAGAAAATAGTGTAATAAACGATATATTTGATGAAAATATTAAAATATCTCTTAGATTAAAATTTGAAAAAAAGAAAGATGATGTTATACAATCATTTTTTGTCCACACAAAGACTAAAGAATTATGTATTGGTGAAGATAGACAAGATTTTTATACTAGTGCATGTGAAGAATTAATGAATAAAATTGAAATATTAGAATGTAAAGGTTCAGGTTGGTATTTAAATAAAATATGCACTTTATATATGAATCAAACTAAAATAAAACAGTTATCAGGTTCATCATATATAGAATTACCTAAATGGATAAAAAATAAAAAAGCTATTATTAATATAAAAAATAATGATAATCAATGTTTTAAATGGTCTATTTTAGCTCATTTACATCCAGCTCCTTATAGTGCTGAGAGAGTAACGCATTATAGAAAATATGAAAATGAATTAAATTTTAGTGGATTTGAATTCCCTTTTAAAATATGTAATATTGATAAATTTGAAAAATTAAACAACTTAGCAATAAATGTTGTAAGTTGTTCCAAAGATGAGAAAAGATTAATAAGATTTCGTCCATCACGAAGATTTGGTATTTCTGACAACAGAGTGATAAATTTATTTTGGTATGAAAAAAATGATAATTGTCATTATAGTTTAATTAAAAGTATTAATAAATTATTTAACGAATATGGAGAACATCAAAAAATTTTCTGTGTACGATGCCATTCATTTTACTATAATCAAGAAAAATTTGATAAACATTATGAAGATTGTGGTAAACATGAACCAGTACAATATACGCCTCCAAAAAATAATGTTTGTAAATTTAATAGTATTCGAAAAACACAAAAACATCGTTATGTAATTTATGCTGATTTTGAATCTATAATTAAAAAAATTGATTTAGTTAGTGATAATCCTAATAAATCATGGACTGAAAATGTAGGAAAACATGCTGCATCTGGATTTTGTGCTATTGTGCTTGACTCTTACACTCACACTATTTATGATATGAAATCGTTCATTGGTTATAATGCAGTATTAGAATTTAATAAATATATAATTAAAATTTGTGACAAACTGATCAGTATTCCTGATGTAAAGATGATTAAACTAAATGAAGAACAGTGGAAACAACACAGGGAAATTAATATTATTAGTTTTAGTTATACTTAGTTTTAGTTATACTAAAGAAAAACCTACTCAGAATTCTTCTTCAGAAGAAAATAAGGAACTTTATGAAATCAGATTCTTGGATAGTTTTGGGTTCAATCCTGCATCATTAGATTGCTTAAGTAAAAATTTAGATGATGATCAGTGCGTAATAAGTAAACGATATTATGATTCATTTGGAACCATTTCTGAAATTAGTGAAAATGAAGATACTTGTCAAATGATTCCTTCTAAAAATGGGGTCTTCGAGCTAATGAGAAAAAAAGGAATTAATCCCTATGAATACATGGATTCTTTCAAAAAATATGAATATACTGAAATTCCTTCAATCAACAAATTTGATGATAGTTTGAATAATAAAAAATGTACTGAAGAAGAATATTTATATGCACAGCAAGTATGGAATGAAATGAAATGTCAAAATTTAAGGGATTATACAAATATTTATATGATCAATGATGTATTATTATTAGCAGATGTATTTGAAAATTTTAGAAATCTGAGTATGAAAGAATATGGACTTGATCCGTGTTGGTACTATACATCACCTGGATTATCATGGGATGCGATGCTTAAAAAAACTGAAGTCAAATTAGAAACAATTGCTGATAATGAAATGTATCTTTTCATTGAGAAAGGAATAAGAGGAGGTATGGTGAATGCTGTAAAAAGATATGCAAAAGCAAATAATAAATATATGAGTGAATACAATCCTAATGATAAAAGTAAATATTTATTATACCTCGACGCTAACAATTTGTATGGATGGGCGATGAATCAAAAACTACCTTATGGAACATTTGAGTTTGTAGAAGGTATAGAAAACTTACAAACAGAAAATAAAATTAAACAATTCATTAATCGATTGAATGAACAAGAAAAAGGTTGCATTTTAGAAGTTGATCTTGAATACCCTCAAGCAATACATGATCAACATAATGACTTCCCTTTATGCCCACAAAATGTAAAAATTAATCGACAAAACATAGCAAAATTAACAAATACTCTTTTTGATACACAAAAATATGTAATACATTACAAAAATCTACTTCAAGCATTGAAATATGGTTTGAAATTAAAGAAAGTTCATAGAATTTTAACGTTTAAAGAAAGTAATTGGATGGCTTCTTATATAGAATTAAATACAAATCTAAGAAAAACGGCTAAAAATGATTTCGAGAAAGATTTCTTTAAATTGATGAATAATTCTGTATTCGGTAAAACGATGGAAAACGTTCGTGGACGTGTTGATATTCGATTAACTATGGACGCAAATTATATTGTTAGATTAGCTAGCAAACCAAATTTTAAAAGAACTATAATTTTAAATAATGAATTAGCTGCTGTTGAAATGAGTAAAACAAATGTTATTTTTGATAAACCTATTTATGCGGATTTTAGTATATTAGAATTAAGCAAATATTTAATGTACGAATTTCATTATGAAGTAATGCAAAAAAGATACGGTAGAACCATTACAGAAGGGAATAAAATAAGGTTATGTTACCAGGATACTGATAGTTTAATTTATGAAATTGAAACAGAAAATGTATATGAAGACATTAAAGAAATTAAAGAATATTTTGACTTCAGTGATTATCCAGTTGAACATCCGCTTTATGATACATCAAATAAGAAGGTGATTGGTAAATTCAAAGATGAATTAAATAGTGATATTATGACAGAAATAGTAGCACTTCGTCCCAAACAATATGCTTTTAAAAAAGAGAAAGGAGTAGAAACTAAAAAATGTAAAGGAATAAAGAAAAATATTGTGAAAACACTAACAACTGATGATTATACAAAATTTCTATTTGAAAATGGTATTGTTAGAAAAGAGCAAGTACTTATTAGATCAAAAAAGCATGAAATCTATACCATGAAACAAAATAAAGTTGCATTGAATAATGAAAATACTGAAGAATTTCGTCAAGAATACAAGCGTTATATTATGAAAAACAATGAAGTAGATACTATTGCTTATGGTCACTATTCCATGGAAAGCTCGTACCGAAAATAAACTTTAAATCTACAAATTAATTTCATTTTGCAACCTTATCGGCAGCATTTTAATTGCAGAACTCATAGATTACTTTTCATTTAGAAATGTCAAATAAAGACCGTGGGTTGCTTGACATTATTATAAAAGAAACATTTCCTTAAATTAATTGAAAAATAATATCTTTATAATCATATTTTTCTAATAATTTTAATACCAACAAGCAATAATAACCACAATGATGTGTATTAAATTTTTGGATCTGGAATGTTGATATTTTAATATCTTTATTTAAATATTTTATTAATTCAATGGGTGGATCTACTCCAAATGAATCAAAATAATAACATTTTTCAGAATTAATTGAATAACATACCCAATGAGTACCATTATTTTTATTTAAATCAAGGTTTACAATACCAACTTCTATCTTATTGATTTGTTTTGGTAATGTATCTCTCATAAATACTCCTCTAAAATTTTTAATTTTTAATTTTTTTGCTATTTCTTCTAAATCATAATTTGTTAATGAACTTAATTCTTTTCTGAACATCTCATAATTTATACACTAAGAAAGATTGAACAATTTAGAAACACAAGTACAGTATTAGTCACAGAGTCAAGAATATTCTGCTGTTTCGTAAAGTTTTAAATTAAAAATAATCGAATTAGGAAGTAATTCACTAATATTTTTTTAGGTAGACATTTTTTATTGATAAAACTATAAATCTAGTCATTTAATACTAATTATTTCCTGTATCTAAAAAAATTTTTTAATAAAAGCGCTTACCGATGTATAGTTCAATTCTACTTCCTTCTTATATTCTTTAATATACGATTTTAAATTATTCGGAATTGGTAAATTATCAATAGTCTTCAAGCAACTTACAATTCTTTTATCGGAATTATTATTGTCTATTCTAGTCAAAATTTTTTTAGTACAAATTTCTTTTAAACTTATGGGGTCTTTATTTGATTTATCTATCTTTATTAAAGTTGCAAATTTGTCTCTTTCTTCAATCAATTTTCTAATATGATCATCCATCATTTATAAGTTCAATTTTTTTGTGTATATTTTTTAAAATGGTAATAACAACATTAATCAAATTCCTTCAGGGATTTTCGATCTCATCTACTGTTTATATGCAAAAAGAAGCAACTATTAATTTGTTTGAAAATTTAACTAAAAAGTGAAACCTCCCAACCAAATATTCTGAAGGAAATGAAGAATTGAAGTCACAGAGTCTAGAATATTCTGCTGTTTCGTAACTTTTTAATTAATGAGATAATAGAAAGAGATGGCAATTGTTAAGAGAGGATGGTCCGAGAGCACTTTACACTCTTCTCTGGTTCACTTTCATGCTTCTAAACGTTTCACCTTTTCAATTATTGTCTTGCTTTCTTTTTTGATTTCGAGTTGATAAAAATTTTTTGATATTTTTTGCATAAATTAACTCATTTTTGCTTATAACTCGCGTTAAACTTGTCTGATTGACTTGATTTTTTAAAATGAGTACTAATTAAAAATATGTAATTTTACAGTTTAATTTTTACTTTTTAGAGATGTCAACTACCAATCATGCTGATGGCTACCATAATAATAATAATAATGTAAGTTAGAAAGGTTTAATTTCATCAAAAATTTTTTGTTTTAAGAAAATACTGACATTTACGACCATTTCTGAAGGAAATGAAGAATTGATGGATTTTGAACAACATAGTAATACCTCCTCTTCAGTCAATTCTTACTCGTCCAATAAAAATAAGAATAAATCGATTGATGAACAGTTAGTTGACTTAAAAGAGTCCATCTTTCGTTTGATAATAATTAGAAATTAGTGTTTCAGCAAGAAGCGTCAACAAAAACTCGACAATCTCAAACGTCGTTCAACTATATTAGATGAAGAGATTAAATGGTCGCAAAAAATTAATGAGCTGCACAAGAAGAAAGATCAAGATCAATTGAAAGCGAAGAAAATCATCCAAAAAGAGCAAGCCCATCTTCGCGCGTTGAATCTCAAGAACAAGCAAGCTGCCTTGAAGAAGAAGCAATTAGAAGCAGAGCAGGAGACCGAATCAGAAGAAGATTTGACGTAATTAAATTCATTAATTGAATCCTATAGTTTGTACAGCTAGGTTGGAATTCCTTGTCAAACACCGACTAAAATCCTCTTTTTGTGATTACCTTGACGTGGTTAAGAGGCTTTTTTAACTAACAATCACACTACTAAAGGTCGTGCATATTTGACTACATCAAAAAATTATAAATTAAACTGTCAGATATATTTCATGCAATAAGACCATTTTATTAATAAAGTAAACCGTAAACCGTAGGCCGGATAGTGGTCCAAAATTTTTTCATACTGTTATTGCACTATAAAAATAAATGGATAAATAATAAAGGTTTTAATTTTATGCTTGGTTTGTGTATAGAAAGAAAATGGGACATGGGCTGCTCCAGGATCAACATATATATATACTACTATCGGCACTGTATCGAAGGCCCTCTGGAAATCAATATAGACGCTATGGGTATCTAACCCATTTAAAGAATTGAAAACAAGCTTGTTCTGGTAGGCGATCAGTTGGGAAATTGTACTTCTCTGATTAAGGAACCCGAATTGTTTTTCTGATAATAGATTATTTTCGGATAAGTATTGGACTAGATGTTTTCGTATCAACTTCTCCATAATCTTGCATATATTGGATGTTAAAGAGATTGGTCTATAATTTAAAGGATCGGAGCGGGAGCCTTTCTTATGAAGCGGCATAACAATCGCCTCCTTCCAAGATTTTGGTATTATTCCAACTCGATAACTTTCTGTGAATATAATGCATAGTGGAATCGCAAGAGGAGTACACGCTCTTTTCAGAAATATTGACGGGATACTATCCGGAGAAGTATTATTTCGCAGATCGAAGAATGTGTAGAAAAAAAAATTAGGTTCACATAGAAACAAAAAAATTTGACATTTTTGAAAAAATTGCACCAAAAAGCCAAAAAGTCAATTATCCTAAATTTCTGGAAACTTCTAAAAGGTTCTGGAATCTTTTTTTTAAACAAAAACCTCTCCGTTTTTCATTTCTGACACTTTTCTAGAGGTTGACTAGAATTTTCAAATTTTGCGGGAATTCAAAAAAAGATTCCAGAACCTTCTAGAAGTTTCCGTTTCCCAACTTTTTCTTTGTTTTTATATGAATTTACATTTTTATGAACATTTGACTTCAATTAAATTTTTACTGCACGAAAGATGTAACCGGTAGAACAAAATAAAAATAGGGAGCAAATATATCAATAACGGGTAATACTGGAAGAAATTAAGGATTCAAACTCGGAAGGTAGGAGAAATCGGGTAACTTGGGAAGTGATGGCGTTCCACAGGGGAACAATTGAAGAAAAATAGTCAGAGGAGTAGGGCTGAATAATAATTAAGTTCATAGGGCGACGAGGGGAGGAGGAGTATTTGACATGTGCATTTAGGTTAGGAAAGTAGGCGGAGCCATTTAAAAGTTTATAGAGAAGAATTAGTTGAGCTTTTAGCCTACGATGTCGAATGGAGAACATATTGAGGATAGAGAGACGATCAGAATAGGAACTGTACTGGATATTACAACGCTGGAAAATACACTTAGAGAAAAAAATCTTAAGGGAGATTCTAGTTTTAGAGCAAGGCGAGAAGAAGGCGGAGGGGAATAAACTACAGAACAATATTCAAGAATCGGGAGAACATAACATTTGAAAAGATGAATGTAGAATTCTGGAGACTTAGATCTAAATGACTTTAAGAGTTGTTTGGAGCGGAGAAGAGCTAGAGATGTGATTTTGTTGATGTGAGCAGAGAATTTGAGAGAGGAATCAGTAATGAGTCCCAAGTCCCGGACGGAGGAGGAGGGAGTGTGACACCCGCAATATTGAGAGGAAGGGAAGAATTATGGGAACCTAGGACCATTGATAATAGAAAACGATTTCAGAGATATAAAGCATTTATGACACAGTAAAATATACTAGACATTTTTTTCAAATTATCTGGGAATTGTTGATATTTAAGGTTAATTATCTAAATTATCGTTAAGAGATATCAAAGTTCTGCAAACTGGCAAAATGTTTGCCGTAAAATGATCTACATTTCATCAGTTGACAGATTTTCAATGTCACAGGAAATGAGATAATTAAAGGGGGACTCCGACCAAAAATTTTTATTGCATTAAAATGTTCGAAAAGTTGTCTATTTTCCCAATATTATAGCGAAAAAATTCGAAAAAAATCCGAAATCCCCGAAAAATGCCGTTCAAAGCGAAAAATTTTCAAAAAAAAGTTGCTAGGAGGGACGAGGATTCGAATTCCCGCGCAGTGAGAAACCTAGGCCACGGCGCCTGATAGCCGTTTTTTCAAGTGGCCGACAGTTATTTTTCACGTTTTTCACCTGCCGGACGTGAAAACCGAAAAAATCCAGAAAATTACCATGTCAAAAAGGCGTTATGATACCGAGGCCTAGGTTTCTGACTGCGCGGGAATTCAAATCCTATTTTTTTTCAACGCCATTTTTCGGGGTTTTCGGATTTTTTTTGAATTTTTTCGCAATAATATCATGGAAAACACATATTTCTTTGAAACATTTTAATGCAATAAAAATTTATGGTCGGAGTCCCCCTTTAAGCTCAAAGTTTAGTGCAGTGTTTACAGTGTTCGATTTTTTCAATTTTGGGGAGTCACCATAATTGTATCTTTTGATTCATTTTCGCAATTAAGATCGTGATTTTCAATAAAATACAGATTCTTGGGATGTTTGTAATCTTTTTTTCAATGAAAAATCTGCATTTTGTTCATAAAATCCTACTAAATTTGCAGAAATTAATTTCGTTTTGTACAATATCGCATTTGGGGGCAGGACCTCGATTTTCCGATGCTAATTCTTATTTCAACAATGGTTAAGACAGTTTTAAGTGCATTCCGTCTAATTTGAACATACAAAATGTTTTTGAAGGAGGCAAGAAAGCAAAAATTTGGGGGGACAGTTCGGGGGACGAAATCGCGCCGCGCTTATGTAGATCATCGGTCGTCAGGCGCCTTCGCGCCCCCGTAGCTCAGCCGGTAGCACAGGTGATTCGTGATGGACCAATTACAGAAGAAGGGCTATAATCGACTAATTACTTATCTACCGCGAACGAGAGGCTCTACAATTGACCATTCGCGAGCAAAATGCGTATCTTACTAACTGGCCCTATAAAAGGTCCGAAATTGAACAATCGCGAAGAAATTCTTGTTTTTATTTTCCGAATTTCGTTTTCTTATTTTGGATACTTTACTTCTTTTTTTCGCCGTTTTCTTCGCAGTTTTTGTTCGGAATTTATTAATTAACATATAATACTATACTAGAATACTGTATAACCATGAATGTATCGTTTTGTTTGCAGAAAAATAGAGAAAATGGCTGGAAGACAAAAGTCGGAAACAAGAAGCCGAAATTCCGAAAAACTCTGGAAGAAGCATTGCTTCTGTACTTTCAAAAGGTAAGAAGCGTCCAGAAAATCCGAATTTTTAATCCAATTTTTACAGGGTGCCAGAAAATCTCAATTTTCCTGTATGTCGACTGGGCACTCCGGAAAAATGCAACTGAGAATGAGGAAGGAAAAAGTTCTGGAACAGTGGGTAAATTTGAAGCGGAAGAGAATAATATAACTTTTAATTAATTGTTTTTTCGCTTTTCATTGTGTTTTCTGTGTAATAAACAATTTTTAGCAGCTGCTAGCTTCCAGATTCGAAACAATATATGACAATTATTGCTCTCGCGACAAGCCAATTGTAGGAGGCGCGTTCGCGATTGGTCTGTAAATGGCCTGCGGCAGGCATGTTCCGATGTACCCATGGCGACTTTCCGCGAACAATATTTCACCTATTATAGACGCTGCGCGAATCACCTGTGAGCGGCGCTGTACCCCTGAGCTGCCTGTCATGGGTTCAACCCCTTATGGGGGTTTTCTATGCAAAATATCAGGAAACTTTTTTTTTGGTGTCTGGCCTCATTTAAACATAATTTTTCTGTTTCATGAAGTTTGTATAATTGTTTATTATTTCAATTATTTCAATCACTAAAATAATAATAATAATATATTTATTTGCAATGCATGGGGGAAATCGATAGATAATTTGGCAAGAAATGGGACCTGTACAAATATAAAAGTAAAATGACCAGACGGACCGACTAGAGTCCTGTAGGTCAAGTGGGAGGGATCAGAATATCATAAGGAATCGCTCCTACTCGCTTAGCAAACGCCACCGGACTGAGCTTAGAATTTATCACCTTACATACACGGTTCCACATAGACAAGTTTCTGTGAAGGAAGCAGTCAAAGTATTGACCGTTGATTTTGAACAAATACGGGGCTCGGTTAGAATGGCTGGGAAGAATGTAGGACGACATAGAGGGAAAATGGTATGAGTTTATAACAATTTTGTGGTAGGTACGAAGAACTAGAAGGGTGCGGCGATGAAGGGTGGTTAGCATAGAGAACTGGGATAGGCGATCGGTGTATGAATTGAAGGGCATATTACATCTCTGAAAGACTTTTCTGGTGAAATAACGAAGAGGAGATGCTAGTTTATTGGCAAGTGTGGCATTGGATGGATCGAAAAGTTCACAACCGTATTCGAGGACCGGTCTAATGTAGGTGTCGAAGAAACGGAAATATAGACAAGGGTTTTTCGATTGGAACGTTTTCAGTATTTGGCGGGACTTGAGTTTAGCAGAGTAGGCAATAAGATTGATGTGTTTGTCGAATTGAAGTTGATCATCAACTAGTATACCTAGGTCCTTGAATGAGCGATGCGGAGTAATGGGGGATCCCTTAATAAGGTAAACTGTCTTAGGATTGCGTTTACCATAATGCATAACGGCCGTCTTATTTTCGGCTAGTTTGAGTCTCCAGATGTCACACCAGTGCTCGACGATTTCGATACTTCTCTGCATATCCAATGGTTCGGAACCGGTTATTTTTAAGTCGTCGGCGAACGCCGTGACATGAACATTGGGAGGAAAGAGGCCGAGTAGGTCGTTAATGTAGATCAGAAACAAAAAGGGGCCAGTGACACTTCCTTGGGGGACTCCGGATTTGACAACAATCTCGCTGGTTGACATTAGGCCATTAACCTTGACGTTGGATGAGCGGTTGCTGAGAAAGGACTCGAACCAATCGCAGCATCGTTCATCAATACCTATACGCCTCATTTTCAGCAGCAAGAGATTGTGTGGGACAGTGTCGAATGCCTTGCGAAAATCAAAGTAAATAACATCTACGAATTGTTGCTTATTTGCTAAGGTTTTCTGTATTCTGGAAGTGGACTCAAGGACGGCAAGAACACAGGATCGCTTACTGACGAATCCGTACTGATTCGGAGAAATACTCGGGCCGATAACACGTTTTAGCTCTTCAAGGACTAATCTTTCGAAGAGTCTGGAAAGTGCATGAGTGAGCGTTATGGGTCTGTAGTTATTAGCGTCATATTTGGATCCCTTCTTGAATATTGGACTAACAACTGAGTGCTTCCAGATCTCAGGAAATTTGGCGGAGGAGAAGGATTCTTGGAAGATGAGCGAAAGAGGGATGGTTATCGCATCACTGCACTTTTTGATTACAAGGAAGTTGATAAAATCCGGGGAGAAGCCGACTTTTGAGGGTAGAGAACCGATGTGCTTTGCAATATTTAGAGGAGAGAAATGAGGACGGACGGCAAAGGGAGCGATAGCAGGGAGGACGGAGAAAGGAGGGCTTGGGGGCGAGAAGGCCTCTTGCGGGCGAGAAGGCCCCAACCTTGGGTTTTCTATGCGAGAAGGTTGGACGACGAGCACGGACGGTTGGAGTGTAGAGGACTACGAGCTCGTTGAAAATGGCGGAGAAATGAGCAAGTTTCGAATCAACCGTGGAGAAGAAAGATAGCTGCCTGGGCCAGTTGTAAGAGCAGAGATGATCCAAAAGACGCTTGACGTCACATTTTATATAGTCTAGACGTTTTGACGAGGTAGTGTTGAGGATGGGTGAAGGAGGAGAAATACTAGGTAGGATTGTTTCGAAGAGGACAGAGGAATGGTCAGAGAGCAGGAAGGGTGGAAGATTCACGGTTTTCGAGATGTGTTGCGGCTTGTTACAAAATGCTAGGTCTAAGAAGTTTTCAGCACCGCAATGACTGGTTCTGGTTGGGAAGTCTACTATCTGAGTCAGATCGGATAGTGACATCAGGCTTTCCAGGCCAGCAGGCATATCATTAGGCAGAAGGTTATCAGGAGACCAGTTTATCTGCGGGTAATTGAAATCACCGAGAAGGAAATTGAAGCGATAACTGTTGCTGAGCAGTAAAGATAGATTGTGAAAGAGTACATCGGATTGGGCTGGT